CACACACACACACACACACACACACACACACACACACACACACAGCCTTGATGAGTGTATAACACAGCTTTTGCCCGCGGATGGACAAGTACCAGTAGAAGCTCCTGGTGTGTCAGCGTGTACCTTCTGCATACTGTATGAAGCATCGAGCGCACCAGTTTTAAACCTTACCTGGCTTCACCTCAGGGGAAGGCAGCCRACAGTGACTTAGAGAAAACTGACAATTCAGAACAGGCAAAAAGGGCTTTTATATAGGGTCATAAAACAAATAAAGGCTTAAAATTTGTTGTGTTAGTGTAGATAAAAGCCATCTTGTGCAGAGAAATGGTGCAGTTCTAGCTGTTTTAGACAAACCTTGAAAATTGCATTATGTGCTATCAAGCAGTATTGCTTTATATGACTGTCAATGTATAGTAAGTGTTGTGAATGACTCTCAGCTTTAACTGTGCTAAATTTTAGATCAATATTTGTAAAACTGACTGAGTTGTAGCCATTTTTCTACTGGTTAATGTTGATTAGCTGGGGTGGCCATCTTGAGTGAAGTAGGCTTGAAATCTTAAYCAGTGGTAGAGATACAACCAATGATTATTTTCTGCAAGTTTCATTAAAATCCATCCAACTATGCTTGAGAAATTTTGCTAACAGACAAACAAGGTTGACACCAAGAGTTACTGGTTACAGTTKGAGCAAAGATATGTCTCAATGAGTAGCACTTGGAGTTTATGTTGTGAATGACTCTCAGCTACTACCATACCAAATTTTAGCATAAAAGCAGTACAACTGATTAAAATATAGTCATTTTTGTGTTTTCTAGGGTTGTATGTCTCTGGCAGCCAGCTTAATTTATTTGCCTCCAAAGCTTTATCAGTTGTAGAGGTATATCCACTGATTATTTTCTGCAAGTTTTATTCAAATCCATGCAGCGATGCATGAGAAATTTCGCTAACAAACAAGGTTTAACTCAAAATGTTTATCAGTTGTAGAGGCACAGCTAAGGACTTCCTGAAGTTTTCATTAAAGCGCCGGGGAAGCAAAGCATCAGTATAAGACCTGTCAGGCTGAAAAGTGCTGAGTCAGCCGTGCAGTCCGTCACTGTATAACCGCCTCCAGTCCGATCGGCACGCGGCAAACAAACAGCAGTKGTGAGGGGAGTAAAAATGGTGAGACCTCAGACATGGGGCGCTGATCAATACTTCAGGAAGACTGTTTCCATCAGAAATGCAGCGCCTCTCAGCCTAGCGTCTGCCATCCCCTCTTCCCTCCCTTCCCCTCTTTAAAGCTGTTTCCACTTTCCACACGCGACTACACACAGGGGAGTCTCGGCTGGCGAGGACTGTAGACATTAGTGCTGGTGGGACAAGCCCACTGAGACCCCCCCAGAAGAGGGAGCGACACAAGGACAATGCCAGTGAATGTGGGCTGAACAAACAGCTCGAAACACATACACACACACACACAAGTTGAGCTGCTGAGTAGCCTCTGGACGAGTTAACGTGATGTGTCTGCTCCGATAAGGGGGTGGGGGGGAAACGGAAACACTTTCCTGACTAATCTCCCTGATCCCACACCAGAGGCTGGAGATGAGCGCAACATTTTTTTTCTTCTCGGCTCTTCTTCCATCCCACATTCTGACACGTTTCCTGCCTTGTTTTAATATTTGCACTYGTGCTTTTCTTGTCCTCTTCAGAGCACCAGAACCATGCGCGGGAGCTGGTGAGGAAGGCCGACCTGTCGCAGTGGGACGCTCTGGTTATCATGTCCGGTGATGGGCTACTGTTTGAGGTAACCCCCCCCCCCCAAACACACACTTTCCATTCTGCTTATTAATCATGACACTTGTTAATCAGCCACAGATGGAAATCCACCGTCCACCCCATTTCTGTTTCTATTTTCAGCTCCTCTTGGAAACAGAATATGAAATTTTAATTTGCTCTCAGACATGACAAAGGAGATCAGGTGCATAC